TTTTTTTGATAGAGACAGGGTCTCACTGTTGTTGCCCAGGCTGGTCTCGAACTCCTGGCCTCAAGCAATTCTCCCACCTCAACCTCCCAAAGTGCTGGGATTACAGGTGCGAGTTACCACACCCAACCATGCTTAGATTTGATTTTGCCTTTCATCCATTCTAAACTATTGTGCTTCCTCATGTATTTATTCTACAGTATTGCTGAATGCTGCTTAAGACTGTGAAGAGTATGAATTATGATGCCATCAATTCTGGAAGTACAGAGATAGGTCAGAGCTTCCTCAAGAGGCTGGAGTCCTCCTTGAAGCCTAGCAACAAAGCTAACTATGTGGCTTCCATAAATATTTCAGGAATTAATGCATGATCCCAAGATTGAGACAGCATGTACAGAACTAACAGAATGCAGTGAAAAGGGCCAGGCAAAGAATCCAAGGGCCAGGTGCAGTGGCTCACACCTCTAATTCCAGTGCTTTGGGAGGACAAGGCAGAAGGATTGCTTGAGGCCAGGAGTTCAAGACCAGCCTAGGCAACATAGCGAGACCCTGTCTCTATAAAAAATTAGAAAAATTAGCCTGGCATGGTAGTGCACACCTGTAGTCCCATCTACTCAGGGGGCTGAGGTAGAAGGATCGCTTGAGCCTAGGAGTTCAAGGCTGCAGTGAGCTATGATGGAGCCACTGTACTCCAGCCTGGGTGACAGAGGGAGACCCTGTCACTTAAAAAAAAAAAAAAAGAAAAGAATCCGAGGAGAAAGCATTTTCCACACTAGGCCATCAGGAGCCAGTTCCATTAGCCTCGAAGGGCTCCTTGAACCTGGATATGTGAAGCATAGGAGGTAGGCCTCGCCTCTCTAATCCACAGTAACCTGGAAGCTGGGCTCAGGGCACAGATGGGACCTTTTAAATAATTCAGTAATCCAGTTTTCTTTTAAATTTGATTTATGCTCACTGTAAAAAATTTGAAAAATATACAATTATACAAAAATAACCACCCGTAATCCTATCATTAGAGAATAATCATTGCTGGTCTTTCATTTTATTTGATGTGCTTATTCCCTAATTTCTGTCTTTACTTAACCCTTAGAACTATATCATTAGTATATTTCCATGTTAAGCCTCTTTGTATTTCAAGTCTGCATAACAATCTTCTATTTTTAGACATGGAGGAGATCTCTTTTTTTCTTTTTTTTATGAGATGGGGTCTTGCTATGTTGCTCAGGCTGGTCTCAAACTCCTGGGCTCAAGTGATCCTCCTGCCTCAGCCTTCCAAGTAGCTGAGATTACAGGTACACACCACCATGCCTGCCTACAAGACATTTAGGAGTTTCCTAATTTTTCCACAGTCATGAGTAAGGCTTTGAGGGCTGCCCTTGTACATAAAGCTGCTGCTTCATCTGCCTCCTGCATTAGCTGCCTGGACTCCTCACTCCAGGCTGCAGCCTCAGCCAGCTTGCTCTCTTAGGCATCAGCCTCTGTTTATAGCTCTCTAGAACTGCTGTGTCCCTGAGGTGTTGGTGCTACCCAGGCAGTCTTTGAGCTCCCACCCTCAACACAGTCTCCCAGGGCAGGCTCAGTTCCTCCCATGCACTCGTTTGAGCTTTATTGAACATCACTAACATCATCTCCTCCTCTGAGATAAGCAGCCTCTCTTGGCCTCCACCGAGTCAGAGCCTGCCACTCTCCCATAACCTGCACTGGTTTCAGTCACTGCATGCTGACGTGATCATCAGTTCACTTGTTACCCCGCCCCCATTATACCGCCAACATCCCTCATGTCCTAGAACGCAGCAGGGCCTAGGATGTACTATGGACCCAGAAATGTTTGATGAACAAATGAATCACTGAATGGTTGAAACCCTAGAAGCGGGCTTCACTAGCTCTTCATGCTGAGTATTTCTTGAAAAGATTAAAAAATATGCCCATACATACTACTACTTCCTACCACATGCCCCTGTTCAAGGTTCAAAATGAGATCCCATTGCCAGAGCACTTTCACCTACCTCCCCCTCCACCAGGGCGTGCAGCCCAGTGTCCTCCCAGAGTCCACAGCTCACCCTGCTGCATCTCTAGTCCTGTCTGTCAGTTCAAAGTTAAGGCTGGGCCTGACCTCCTCGTTCTCTTTTGCTAGATTGTGCCGTGGTGGCAGGGACTGGGTTCCTACCAGTATTCATACCTGTTTTCATAGCACAAGTATTTAATATTCACTGATATACCTACAAAAGAGAAGAATAGCTCACCTTTACCAAGTCCTTGAGTCTGTATAAAACACACATGCTTTCTCATTGCATCCTCACATCAACACAGTGTGGTGGGGACTGCCATCATCCCCATTTTACAGATGCAGAGGCTGAAGCTCAGAGGTTAAGCCTGTGGTTACATAGCTAATAAGGGAAATCTGGGACTTAAGCCCTATAATTCAAGAACCCACAGACTTAATTATGAACCATATTAAAAGATGTTTGCAAAAACATCAGGAGTGGAGGAGGAGGGATAGTGAGGAACATTAGAAAGGGGAGCAATGTTGCCATTGTAACCCACCTGTCCTTCCCTGCAGCCCTTTCAGGTCTCCATCAGTGGGAACCTGTGCCCGTGGCCCACATACACCACTAGCCAGACCATTTTGCGCAATGTAAAACCCTGTTCAGATGGCTACCAGAAACGAACAAGGTAAGCCACGGTCAGCCCTATGGTGGGTGGGTGGGTATAGACCAGGCACTGGGCCAGGAGACAGGGCAGGGGTATGTGCTGTCCCAGACGGAGGGTGCAAGGGCCCCGTGGGGTGCTTGTCACATATCAGCCCACCATCCCCTGCAGTAGCTGGCAGCAGGAGCCCTTTGGCATTGCCAAGCCCAGGTACCTGGAGCAGCTGGAAAACTACCTACGCAAGGAGCTCCTCTTGGTGGGATTAAGCAAAGATTCTGCCCAGGAGCTGAAGCTGCAGGTCAGAGCCATAGAATAAACATGGGAAGGGCAAGGGGAAAGGGTGGGAAGACCACCTATGAGGACTGCATACGTGAAACCTTCAGGGGAGACTGGCCTCTTCTAGCTCTCCTAGGTCTCCCTCCCTGAAGAGAAGCATGTCCTGGGAAAAAGCCACTGTGCAGGCACGACTGCAGTGTGGAACCAAAACTCTCCTGAGGCTTGAGTTTCCTCACCTGAGTCGGGGGAACTGGATGCTGTGCCCATTCCCTTCAGCTCTGCAATCCCTTGCACCCAGGTTGGGTCATTGGATATCAGCGGATGGAGCCTGAATCCTGGCAGTTGGGCAAGCAGAGGTCATACAGTGTCCACCTGCCACCCCAAGCTTAAGGAACTAGCCCAGACACATAAAGAGGAAGAAAGGAGGATCTAGATGCAACCCAGATTCTGGCACATATTAGAGAGAAAATCACCATGTCTTCTCAAATAGGGGTGAGGACAGGGTCCCCAGCTTCTGACATAGTCACTGACTGATGCATTTGCTGAGCGCTGGCTGTGTGCCCAGCCCTGGGCTGGGGCCTCACATACAATCTCACAAGCAGAAGGTCCCTCACCAACAAGGAAGCAGAAGCTTGGAGAAGGCACATCACCATGAAGTGATAGGACTAGGATTCAAACCCAGGGCTGTTCCTGGAGCCTGTACTCCTTCCAGTAAGCAATGCTGCCTCCAAAAACTCGCTGTGTGTTCAAGTGGGGCAGGAGACCACACCTCCACTATGAGGTCAGAATGCAAGGCTAGAACCTTCAATCTCCTCTGTTCCCACAGGGCTCTAAGATGGGGAGAGGACGCAAGTGAGTGGCCAGCTGATGCACTATCTGGAAGGCAAGAGGCTGGCTGGCTGGCTGCATGGAGAGCCAGAGGGGACTTGGGCACAGAGTGGGAGGTCTCACCCCTGGTGGTCTGCCAGGCCTCAGAGATAGTATCAGGAGAGGCCTCCAGAGAGCTGCCCCCAGCTCTGTGGCAGTGTGAATGACTCAGGTGGTGCCCGAGGCATTTACCTGAATATAGGTGACCTGGCAGCCTCATGCTGAAACATTTCTAAGCCCAGTAAAGAAAAACACCACACTGAGGGTGGCGGCTGTAGGCCAGGAGGTGACCAGTTCCATTTTCTTGCCAGCCTTACAGAGAGATCTTTGAGTTTTTCATAGAGGACTTCAAAACGTACAAGCCGTTACTGTGCTCCATCAAGAATGCATACGAGGTGATGTTAGGTAAGAATGCAGCTCCCCTCCTAGGCCCAGCCTGGAAGGGGCAGAGAGGATCTTATTCTGACCTTCTGTGGCTCTACAGCAGGGCTGGGGCAGCTACCAACTGGGCCTTGAGGTCACCAAGCCCAACTCAGCCTTTTCTGCACACACTGTTCTGTGATAGAGCACTTGACAACCTCCCATCCTTGAGAAGCATGGTGGGGCAGTATCTGTAGGAAATAGAGTGAACCCCATAAGAGAGTGAGTACTCAGGAGGTGCAGTTGCAGGACTAAAGACTGTAGGGGAGACCCCAGTCTTCATCTGAACTCTCTCCCTTATTTAAAAGCAAGTACAGGAAGGCCTAAAGCAAGGGTCATGGCTTTGAACGAGGTGTGCATAGATTCCTGGCGTTTGCAAGTGACATAACCACTCATCCGTGACCTTAGGGTCTGTTTCCTGGCTGTTGTCCTGGAACTCTAAAGGAACTCTCCAACCTGTCTCTGCTTAGCCCACCAAAGGGAGAGGATTCGGGCTCTGGAGCCCCTGAAGGCCAAGCTTGTCACTGTGAATGAAGACTGCAATGAGAGGATTCTGGCCATGAGGGCTGAGGAGAGACACGAGATCTCCATGCTCAAGAAAGAAAAGATGACGTTGCTAAAACTCATTGACAAAAAGAATGAGGAGAAGATCTCATTGCAGAGTGAGGTGAATGGAAGTGGTGTGGTGACCAAGTCCCTGAATTCCTGCCCCACCACCAGGGTGACCCCCAGGCCACTCCACCCTCTGCTGGAATGATATGCTGAGCCACCATCTCCCCCCAGAGCCCCTGCTACCTCTACCCTTTGCCTTCATGCTTGGCTCAGCCCTGGCTGTGTGGCCCGAGTGCCCGCACTTGCCCTGCGGGAGGAAGCATGGGCATCTTGCTGGGTGCTCCGGGATGGCCGATCTCCTTCTTCCTCTACCTTTCCTATTCCCAAGACCTGATGGGGCGAACCAGCACCCATCCGTGCTCTGTGGTGACTAGCTGCATACAGGGCTCCAAAGGCAGCCCCTAACCACACAGCCACCTGCCCAACAGGTGAGCAAACTGAGGAAGAACTTGGCTGAGGAGTACCTAAACTACCTCAGCGAGCGAGATGCCCGCAAGATCCTCATCGCAGACCTGAATGAGCTGCGGTACCAGCGGGAGGACATGTCATTAGCCCAGTCCCCAGGTAAGCCCAAGACAGGTTTCTCTCCTCCTCAGAGGTGTTGGAGAGGAGTCTTGCTCTCACCACTCACTCTCATTCATTCAACATTCCTGATACCTGCTCATTGCATGCCCATTCATGGTGGAGATGTCCCTTCCACCACCTGGGGCTGCAGATCTTCTGAGCTGGACTGAGAATTGTAAGACCGTTGCTGGCAGCTGGGGCAGCCCAGACTCCCTGTGGGTTGGACAGGTCTGGTACCCCCTGTCCTGGGCTTTTTTTCTTAAACCTGAAACCCTAGGCTTAGGCAGATCCAGGGAATCCCAAGCAGGGAGGGCAGAGGACCTCAGGCATCCCCTGAGCAATACCCAACCCAGCCCTGGGCTCCAGGCCCCAGAGCCAGCATGATGTGGGCTGATGGGGTCCCGGCAGGCATCTGGGGGGAGGACCCCGTGAAGTTAACACTGGCTCTGAAGATGACCCGGCAAGACCTGACCCGCACGCAGATGGAACTCAACACCATGAAGGCCAACTTTGGAGATGTGGTACCCAGGAGGGACTTTGAAATGCAGCAGAAGACCAACAAGGATCTTCAGGAGCAGGTGCTGGTGGGCAGGCAGGGCCAGGCAGGGTAAAGCAGGGTCATGCAGGTGGGCAGCTAGGACCAATCACCTTGCCCTCAGCTGGACAGCCTGAGAGCCGACTACGAAGAGGTCCGCAAGGAGCATGAGATACTGCTGCAGTTGCACATGAGCACGCTGAAGGAACGGGACCAGTTCTTTTTCGAGCTGCAGGAGATCCAGCGCACCTCCACTCCACGGCCTGACTGGACCAAGTGTGAAGGTAATGATGGCCACTGGGGCCTCAGGGCCCCTGCTGAAGTACATAGTCTGGACTCCAGCTCCCTTTCCCCACCTGCAGATGTGGTGGCTGGGGGCCCAGAGCGCTGGCAAATGTTGGCTGAGGGCAAGAACAGTGACCAGCTGGTGGATGTGCTCCTGGAGGAGATCGGCGAGGGGCTGCTCCGGGAGAAAGACTTCTTCCCTGGTCTGGTAGGGGAGTCCCCAGGAGGGAGACTGAGGGCCGGAGCCAGAACAGCCATACCTTGCTACTAGAGACTTGAGCTTCTGGGGGAACCATCTGGGGGGTCTTCCCTGCTTGGGGAGGAGGCCACAGATAGGCCCAGAGATGAGCTAACACCCTCCCTTCTAGGGCTATGGGGAATCTGTCCCCTCTTTCCTTCGGTTTGAAGGCCTTGTGGAGAACAAGAAGCCAACCAAGAAGGATGTGGTAAACCTCCTCAAGGATGCCTGGAAGGAACGTCTCACACAGGAACAGGTCAGATCTCACAAGCCACTTTGGCCCAGTGTGGCCTTCAGATCCAGAGTCCTCCAGGGGGTCCCCTCAAGGTGCCAGCAAGGAGGGAGGAGGGCCAACTGACCCTGGGGCAGGCTGACCAAGCATTCCCATCCTGCAGAAAGAGAAGTTCCCAGATTTCTTCTTTAATTTCCTGGAGCGTCGCTTTGGGCCCAGTGATGCCATAGCCTGGGCTTATACCATTTTTGAAAATATCAAGCTCTTCCACTCCAGCGAGGTCATGAGTCAGTTCTATGCAGTCTTGATGGGAAAGGTGAGCTTGGGCCTGACTCTGTGTTCCCCTCGGGGAGGCAGACAGGGGCCTGTATCCCCAGCATAGCCCAGCCCTGCCCCCACCACTCTGGAAGCAGCAAGTTAGTGAATGCTCCCTTCCCTATAGAGAAGTGAAAGTGTGTATGTCAACCAGAAGGAGACAATAGCCCAGCTGCTGAAGGAAATGACAAATGCTGACAGTCAGAAGGAGGGGATGCTAACCATGGAGCAGTTCAGGTGAGAGGCCAGTCCAGGCTACCCTGAACTCCTGCCCAACGTATCTGGCCAGGCTCCTGGATGTGCAGGGAAAAGGGGAGCCTGGCAGGAAGAACCACAGCCTCAACACTCACTGTCCTTTTGAACACCACGGAGATGAGTGGTCAGGCTTCAGCAGGCCCCTGTTGGCCCTCATGTCTCCCCACAGCACAGTTCTCAAGAGTACCTTCCCTCTCAAGAAGGAAGAGAAAATTCTGGAGCTGATGGAGGCAGGGGGCTGGCATCCCAACAGCGACAATGCAGACTTCCTCAACTACCGCGCATTGTTTCTGGAGGTGGGTGGGTGGGTCCAGGGACTCGCCTAGCCCCTACACTAGCCTCAGCTGGACCCTAGCCAATGTGCTCTCACCCCGACTTATGGCCCCTCCCAGGATGAGGAAGGCCAGAGTGAGCCCTTTGTGCAAAAGCTGTGGGAACAGTACGTGGATGAGAAGGATGAGTACTTACAGGAGCTGAAGCAGGAGCTGGGCATTGAACTGTGAGTGACCTTGGGGCCCTCAGGCCAATTCATCCATAGCGAGTCACCAGTCACCCTTTGATCCTTGCACTGGGACACAGGGTGGCACCTCAAGCCCCTGGGTCTCCCTGTGCACTGAGCATGCTGCTGTGTACCATTGCTCAAGCCTGGCAGAAAGGAGGGCACCTGGGAGTCTGGGGCACATGAAAAAGATGTCATGGCCCGTTTCTCTTTTCTTATGGGACAGCTACAGTGATGTGACCCTACCCAAGCTACGTGGGGCCCTGATGAGCATCGACTCCAGCCTGGACAAGCAGACTCTGAATACCTATATCAGCCAGGCTTTCCAGCTCCCTGTGTCAGAACTGCCAGAGGAGGGTGATGGGAAGGAAGAGGGCATTGTGGTACGGCTCCAGACTGCACTGGAACGGCTTCAGGTGATTGACGTAAGGCGCAGGGGGCCAAGAGAGCAGGAGCCTGCAAGCTAGGACCACTGTGGGCAGCCTGAGTGCTCCAGTACTGCTACCCGCTGATTTTAGTATAAAATTGTTTTTCTGGACCCATACCATTCTCCAGGCTGTGCTGGGGAGTTGTGGGGAGGGGGATAAGTCCCTGCCTGGCTGGCCCCAGGACATGCACCAATATTCTGTTTATAACATTTTATTGATGCTGGGGGGATGGGGAAAAGACCTGGAGGAGTAAGTGGTATCAAGGGGCCCCAGGTGGGGACAGGGCAAGTGTTGAGGCCTGGCCACTACTGGGCAGGGAAGACAGAGTTGCCACTGAATGCACAGGGGATGAGCAGCTGCCGGTACTCCAGGGGCAGGTGCCGTTCCACAAGCACATGCAGCGAGACTTGGTCGGTGACCAGGCCCTGCCTGCAGCAGAGGAAGAGGAGGAACAGATGGAATCAGCACCAGCACTCTCACACCCAGCACCTCCCCCTTCCACCCTCTCACCGTCGCATCAGCAGCTCCAGGTCCTCTGGCTTTACAGTCCTGCGGCCAGCATGGGTAGCAAATGCCTCCAGATCATCACAAAGATGTCGGAAATACTTATCTAGGCTGCCAAGAAGGTTGGGATAGAGCAGACTCAACAGTCTGTTTATGACCTGCAGGGCTCCTCTCCCCACCCTGAGTGTCCAGGACTCACCATTTCTCCACTATCTCAAGAGCCGCCTTCTCCATGGGCATCTTAGCATAGAAGCTAAAGAGTTTTGCATAGTGGCTCAGTCCAGTCTTGTAGGGATCTTGGCGGGGCCTGGGGCCAGTGGCTCGGGGCCTAGGGGGAAGCCTGGCCGACAGAGGCTCCAGAGGCTCTGAAGATAAGCTGGGGGAAGGAGTGGACAGAGGTAGCTGAACTATACTGCCGAAGGCTCCTGCTGAGCCCTGGACCAGCAGCTCCAGCCATGTACTGATGAGGGGCAGCAGAGTCAGGAGCCACGTAGACCTGGTCTTTCCCTAGGGTCCTGTTCCTCCATAGTCAACCCAATGTCCTAGTCTAGTCTTATCATCTATGTTGGTACTTGCTTAGGTCCACGACCCCCAGCCTCAGAACGGACATTCTCTCCCCTCAGTCTATTGCAGCCTATCCTGATTCTGCTAATCCTCCTCCAGGAAGCCTTCTCTGACTACATACTGACCAAAGCACTTCCCCCTTGCCCAGGCTCCTCTAAGCCCCTGGAGGCAGACACCAGGATGACAGATGTGCGCTCAGTGAGCCCTCCTCAGCCCAGCTCAGGTTGCTCTGCTGGGTAATCTGCATACTTGTGGGAAGGGGATGACCCTGTGTACATGGGTTGCCCGATGCCAACCTCAGTGCCTGCCCCCTTCCCGAGAGGCCCATGAGGAATGGGGTTATGGGATCTTACACTGCAGGGCCAGGAGGCGGGACTGGCTCAAGAAGCTGATGAAGTTGCTTGGGCTGGAGAAACTCTGGGGTGTTGCAGGCCAACTCTGGGCTTGCTGTAGAGGAATTGCAGGGTCACAGACGGCTCGGGGCTGACCATCTCACCCAGTCCTGCAGGTCCAGTCTCTTTGTCCTGTTTCTCAAGGGCCCCACCTCGCTCCAACCAAGCAGGTGCTCCTCAGAGTCTCCCTGGCCCCCTAACACCACCAGTGCCCAGAAACACCACCCAGGCAAGCCCCTTCTATGTGCCAGGGCCTGAACACAGCTGTTACCAGTCACCCCATGGTCCCTGCACTGGGTGTCTTACCTGTCCTACCAGAGGTGTCCTCATCCCCTGATGATCCTTCTGGCTCCCCAGGCTCAACAGCCTCCAGGGATCCCTCTGCTTCTGTCACTTCCATGTATCCCTCAGGCTCTCCCGCCTCCAAAGGTCCCTGTGCTCCTGTCGCCTCTTTCATTTCACTCACGCTCAAGCCTTTTTCTTCTTCTTCCATCCTTTTCTCTGCCTCCTCACAAACTCCATCCTGTAAGGGCTCTACTCCACGTCCAGAGATACTACTGCTGGTGTTCCGGAAGCCCAGAGCAAGGGCATTGACCTCCTCTGCCTTTCCTGCCAGAAACTGAGCTGGCTTCCCAGGGCCTGCATGAGGGGAGAGAATACAGGCTGCAGAAGCAGCAGGCCAAGCTCTGGGAAGCGTAAAGATGGACTAGCAAACCTTGCCTTGCCCACTGAGGAGACAAAGCCAGAAGCAGCACCAGGACATGAATTTGGAGTCTCCTGGCCTAACATGGACTCTGCTCTCGGACGGACGAGGGACCCACAGTCAAGAGGCTCTGGGGACACATATATGGACTTGAGGAAGGAAAACCATCACTGCCAACTCTCACCCAAGCTAACTAAGCTCCAGGCCACCTGCTCCACATACTCACTGTTGTTCCATGGCGCAGACCCACTGCTCCGTGTCCTGCGACTGGCAGCCCTCTCAGTGTCTTCAGCCGCTGTGTGAGAGGGGAGGGGCAGGGAGCGACGCACACTGGGGGAGCGGTCAACCAAGGGCTGGGAGAAAGGCTGGGTGTCCTCCAACACAATGTCTGTTGGCAGAGTAATAACAGGGCTTCTGAGGCTGTCACCTGGAAATCAAGGGCCAGCAGGCATTCAGTGCATTCCAGGTACCCCTGCTGCTACCCAGAGTTACCAGGACCTGGACAGTGGGCCCCATGGCCTTCAGAGAGAGAAGACGACCTAGCACTCTAAGGCTTCTCTCTCTTCCACAGCTCTCCTTGCTTATCCTCCTGTTCCTTAGCCTGGCATTCCTAGGCCTCCACAGCTGCCCACTCCACCCCCCAACTGCTCTCTCATGCCGCTGCTCTCTCCTTCTCACTCTGCTCCTTCTGCCCAGAACACTCCTCTTACCCTGGTGAACTTGACTTGTCTTCTGCAGTCAGCCTCCCAGGTCAGCTTTCATTGGCCAGCTGACCCTGAAACCTGGTCCCTTTCAACCTCCAATCAGCTTCAGCCACCACATCATACCCCTTTCCTACCTTTAACCCTATAGCTCCTCAAGGATATGGGTCCTCGAAGACACTAAGGGATAAAGACTGGGCACCACCAAGGCAAGGGGCACCTTGTAGAAAGAAAGCAGAAACTCCTTGTAGATCTACTGACCAGGTGTGCTCACTGTTCTTGACCCCACCAAGAGGGAAGCAACCCTGACTTGGCAGAACCTCTTATCTGGCATAGGCGTAAGCTTTCCCAAAGGCCAGAAGGGGAAAATCTCAACCTTACTTGGAGGAGCCAAGGAAGTATCACGCAGATCCTGCAAAAAGGCACCCACATCTACGGCTCGGCGAGTGCCAGGTCTGCGGGCCAAGCCAGGCCTCTGCACTGACTGTGGCTGAAGAGGTGTGGCAAAGGTCAGGTTGAGGGAGCTGGTGAGAAGGAGGAGGCACAAAGAAAAGTCAGGTGCTTGAGGCCCAGTTTTCCTCTAGGATTCCCCCATCTGCAGCGGGGTTCTCATCTCTTAGAACACAGCCAACATGCTATGGGGCTAAACCTGGCAGGGAGTGGTATGGCCAGATTCCATCTCAGTCAGCACCTCCCTCCCAAGCTTCTCCTCCACCAACCCCCAGAACAGAGAAGAGCACCTGGCGAGGGATGAGGCATCAGCATTCCCACGAGGCTCTATCAGTGACCGGCAAGAAAATGTAAAAAGAAGAAACCATGGGAAGTTATCCAGGCCTTTGAGAGCCCTCTCTGGCTCTCCTCAGGCTCTCTAGAGGACAGGAGGGTGAGGGTAGCAACAGGTGGTATCCAGGGCCTCACCTTGGGGGACAGGCAGCTCTTGGTCCACTCCCTGCTGAAACACCGATAGTCTCAGCCTCTGCTTCCTCCTGCCAGGGGCCAGCAAAGCTGGACCCAGAGTCGTGGGGGGCTCAGGCTCAGGAAGTTGCAGCTCCAAGCTATAAGGATGGAGCTTATTTTAGACAGACCAGGAAGACCAATTCTGACTTCTGAGGCCCCCAAAGGCTTCCCTGACGAGAACTTCCCAACAGCCCATTCCAAGGGTGGGGTTCACCGTGCACCTGCCCCGACTGCTTTCCCGTCTGGAGGGCTGGACCACTTGTGGCGCTGGCACTGGCTTCACCACTGACTCTGGCTTCAGGATGGAAGATTCCGGGGCTGCAGAAACACCAAGGAGAGGGTGGGGCTGACAGAACAGGCTGCCCTGAATGTGGAATACCATAAGACTGGTGTTGGACTGGTGCCTGACCCTGACTGGCAGGCCAGCACCCACTCACCAGTTAGTAGAATGTTCTTCAGCAGAGTCCGAGGTGTCTGTTCCTCCAGGTGCCCACTGGCTTGAGCATGGGCCAATCTGCCACTAGACTATGGGCAAAACCACCAGACAATCAGTCTGTTCATTCGCCTTGAGATTTCCTCAAGGAGGGCTCTAGAGTAGAGCTGGACCTCAGGGCCTCCTCAAGGCAGCCAAGGGCCTATAGTGCTCAGTAGGCTGGGAACTTACCCTGGCTCCACGGGAATTCCATCTGGCAGTTGTCTTTGTTTGGCTTCTCAGCCTCCTGGAGGAAGGTGTTTCAAGCAGGGCTCTCTGGGCACTGTGTAAAGGCCAGGGCTCTGAGAAGTGTGTGTGTGTGGAGGGGGTGGAGGATGCAAAGATGTGCCTTCACCAGGGGTCTTGGTCTGAAACCCTTTTCCGTCAGGGCCAGGGACCCAGAAACAACTTGCCCCTCCCACAGCCCCTGTTCCCAGCCCTATGTCAACAGCGGTGTGGATGAAGATGAGCCCTGGGGTATGGGAAGACAGAGGGAACATGATTGAACCAGAAGGAGGGTCTGAAGGAGGGTCTGAGGAGAGTCTGAGAAAGGCTTCACAGAGATGACTTTAGCAGAATCATAAGGGATAAGTAGGGGTTAGCCACACAGACAAAAGGAGCAAGTGGAAGAGTATTCATTCCAGACATTAAAATAACAATGCAAGAAGGATATTTAAGTATTTTTAAACCTTTTAAGTACTTGTCAGGGTTTGACAGCAACCTTCCCCAGCCCTAGTCTCTCCAGTCCAGTCCTTCTCAGATTCCAGAGCCACGTAAACGGCTCCCAGGTAACAGCTCCCACCTCATCACGGCTAAGTCTAAAACCTACACTGAATAGCTGCCCATTCCCTATAAAGGAACCGCATTGTCCCAGTCTGGCAGATGCCAACTTCTGCATGCACTGCACCATGAGCTCACCACGGCCCTCACCCACCCACAATCCCACTAAGTCAGGCCAAATTCCCTGCTCCCCAGCAAAGCATCTTTCCAGTTCCTGTCTCCCAAGTTCTGCCCAGGCTGTGCTCGCTAGCTCCTTTCCCATCTCCCAGCTGGAAGCTACAGAGACAGTAAGACTGAATGTGCAGGGATGGTGGGGACCTCTCCGAAACACCCCAGGTTGGTCTGGCGGAAAGCAGCCTAGAGGACAGAGAGTCAGGTTCTAAGTGCCGGTCCTTCGCCTCCAGAGGCCGACCCCCAAGGTCCGGCTGTCTGGAGCCCTGAGAGCGGGGCACAAACAGCTGGCTTGAGCCAGGCTAGGGCAGTGGAGCCAGTTCTCAGAGACCCGGGCCCTGCACTTCTCGAGACTCAGTTTCCTTCTTCAGACAGGGTTGGCGCTGGATCCCACCCAGACCCCACTCCCCACCGTCCCTCTAATTGTTCACGTACTCGGGCAGCGCCCTCACATACCCAGCTCGAGCACTCCGGGGTCGCCGCGGGGTGCGCGGGTCCGCCGTATCCAGCACGCGCCGCAGCAGCGTGCGCGGTGTAGGCTCCCCGAGGATGCTGCGGTCCGCCATTGCCTCTGAAGAGACCCCTCCTAACTGCTGAGCCCGCTGTAGGCGCCGCATTCCCGCCGCCGCATTTAAGGTAACTCTCGCGATGCTGCCGCACAGCACCACGGGAATTGTAGTTCTTGCCCTGCCGAAGCTCACGACGTGGACAGTGGTGGTTGAAAACTTGGCTGCTTTTGAGGCAGCCTTAAAGGAGGCCAGCCTGAGCAAACCTATGCAACCAGTCCAAGTCTTGGTTTCCTCATCTGTAAATTGAGGATGATACTTACCTAATAAGGGTCTTGTAATGATTCAAGGAGTTAATGTTTAACTCAGGATCTGACACATGGTAAGCCAGGGCATCAATAAATAGTCGCTATTATTACAATGCCTCTCATTCATATGTCCCTCTGTAAAGATGAGGAGAAACAGTTGGGCCAGGAAAAAGAATTTTATCCTATATGTGACGTGGTCAGATTCCCATTTGCAAAGACGGCTGTCTGTAGGGTCTGTATTTTATCAGAAGAGACCAGGTTGCAGGTTCCAAGGCTAGTAGACTGTGATCCAGCATAGATGTTATGATCTTAAAACAGTGCAATTTTGAGATGAATTCTGGCTCTCAAAATTTCTGCTAATGCTGGAGATGCTTACCATATTATGTAAGTGCTTTCTGTATTTTTCACTGCTTCACGATCTCCCACCTTTCTTTTTCTTATTTTTTCTTTTATTTTTTTTAGAAACAAGGTCTCACTTTGTGGCCCTGGCTGGAGTACAGTGGTATGATCATAGCTCACTGCAACCTAGAACTCAAGTGATCTTCCTGTCTCAGCCTTCCAAATAGCTGGGACTATAGTCCCATGCCACCACTCCCACCTAATTTAAAAGAAAAAAAATTTTGTTCATTTGAAATGGGTTGTCAGGCCGGGCACGGTGACTCACGCCTGTAATCCTAGCTCTCTGGGAGGCCGAGGCGGGCGGATTGTTTGAGCTCAGGAGTTCAAAACCAGCCTGAGCAAGAGCCAGACCCCGTCTCTACTAAAATTAGAAAGAAATTAATTGGCCAACTAAAAATATATAGAAAAAATTAGCCGGGCGTGGTGGCACATGCCTGTAGTCCCAGCTACTCGGGAGGCTGAGGCAGAAGGATCGCTTGAGCCCAGGAGTTTGAGGTTGCTGTGAGCTAGGATGACGCCACGGCACTCTAGCCCGGGCAACACAGTGAGACTCTGTCTCAAAAAAAAAAAAAAAAAAAAAAAGAAATGGGTTGTCAAAAAAAAATAAAATAAAAATAAAAAAAAATTTTGTAGACATGAAGTTCTCACTATGTTGCCCAGGCTAGTCTTAAACTCCTGGCCTCAAGCAATCCCCCCCCGACCCCAAATATTAGGATTACAGGAATGAGCCACCTTCCCTGGCCATCCCCCACCTTTTTAAAATTTTCATGGCAACTGAATTGGAATTTAGTTTCTGAGTCCGCTGTGGAGTTCTTTTTCCCAGAATCTGCTCCTATATCAGGAGACAGGCATGGGCATATTTGTGCTTGGGTTAAAAATGGAGCAAAGAAAAAAATTAGATTCTTGCTCCTCAAAATTAAGAGAACTGTAGAGGAAAAGCATATCAACATTCCTTGTCATTTAGATCTGATCTCTGTGTCACCTGATTTAATTTGCTAGCCCTTTGCAGACACATTTCCATGGTCATTATCAACCACCTAAATGAACTTTTAAATTAGTTATTTATTAGTACAACCTTGAACTGATACAGAGAAAACAAAAATCTTCCCAAACAGTTTGAAACATGAGCTTCAGTCTGCTCAGTAATATTCTGTGTTCACAGAATTAAACTTTATATTTACTCTTTATTTAGAAAAAACCCTAAAAACACTGGGGAGAAGTAAGGGAGGAAGGAGTGAGAGAGATTGGCAAGGGCCAGACTATGTGGGGTCTTGCAAGCTCTGGGAAAGAGTTTGGATATCATTCTAAATGGAATAGGAAACCACTGGAGGGATTTAAACAGAGGTATGACATAATCAGATTTTCTTTGGCAGCCTTGTGAAGAACAGATTGTAGGAGAGGCAAGATTGGAAGCAGGGAGACACGTGATGAGGTTCTTGCCTTTCTCCAGAGGTGACAAGATAGAGGGTGGGCAGGGCAGTGGGGGTGGGGAGAAAGCCATGCAGTCCAAATATGCTTTGAGTGTAGAAGATAAATTGTAGATTAGAGGTGATTTTATGTACTGGAAGGCAGAGTTTTATTGAGCATAATCTTCAACATTCTGTGCATAAAGAAAGTATATCAATTCGACTTCTCACCATTTTTTGAGCAAGGTGAGTCTTGAGATAGGTAGGGTTTGAACCATATCAGTGACTGTATGACAATGAAAATACACAGTAACAGACACAATGATCTTTTGCTGAATTTTATCTCTCCTGCACACGTTATAAAAATTTAAACATGTAACAAAGTATGCATTCATGTTTGTTCTGTTGTTTAAATGATTCATCCAAATGAATGCATATCTTTTACCACGGGCTACACACACTAAATACTGCATTTCTAGATTTCAAAGGGTTTAAGCTGTAGACCTCAGCTGCACAGGACAGGAGAAGTGGGATTTTCTATTGTTATAGGTCAGCTGAAACCCACACAAATAACTAAGGATCACATTGGTTGTAAACACAATGAAAGTGATGGTAATGTTTGAGTGTTGGGACTAGAAAAAGTTCTCTTTTTCCCATTTTCCTGTATTTTTCTAAAACATTTTCAGCACAGTTCCACTTTATAATAAAGAACAACAAATTTTTTTTAGAAAAAGTACCTGATTTATTTTGTTTTTACATCAAATACTGTAATTAGAAATAATGTATACTAGGTTTCCATGTCATGCTTGCAATCTGTTATCAGGAGAGAAAAAATGAGGAGGGAGAGTTATGAAAAAAGGTGAAGAAAGGCAAGAAAAAGTGAGAGAAAGGGGGAACTCAGTAAAAGAGTTTGCAGTTAATTCCCCTGCTGGACCTACTACTTGGTTCTTCCCCGGTTTTCCACAACCTCTCGTTCTTTGAAATATTTTGCTCAAAGAAGTCGAGGGAGGGGGGAGGTGTCTTGTTACAATGCAAATCCTTTCGCTTAAAACCTCTCAACAGCTCCCAGTCGCCTGCAAAATAAAACCCCGTATCTTTTAATAGGGCCCAGTTAGGTATCTTTCTGCCCTTTTGCTACTCTGGCCACCCCCTTTCGAGCTCTTTAAGGGCAGAATCTAGCTCATTCCTGCTTTGGGGCCTTACGGGCTGGGTTCCGCGGCGAGAATTGGCTACTCCTCCTTTCCCAAGCTTTTTGTTGTTTTGTACTCCTGGGCCTCCGCCCCCCATTTTCTCCTCAATCCTGTTCATTGCTTTGGAGCGTTTATTTGTGATTAGACATCCATTCGCGTGCATTCACATCTACTTTCCAAAAGACATACCCTCATCCCTCTAAGTGGTCAGGCTCCAGAAGGGAAACACCGGTGAGTCTGGCTCCCCGAAACTCCCTGCACTGCGCACGACACATAGTAAGACGCCTATTGGTGACTTCGTTTAAGTCAATAAACGAGTCAGCGCGGGCAGCGGCGGAATCGGGAGACAGTCCCCAACGCAAAGAAAGGGGTTCCAAAGGCCTTTTGGGACGCTGAGCCTTAGCCTTCCTCTCCCTCCCTCCGCAGGAATGCCGTCGACTCAAAGGCGCTCCGGGCTGGGGCACCGCTTCAGGCGGACACAGCACAACCTCGCCCGAATTCTGGTCCGCAGTAACTGGATCTCTCCTTTAGGTGGCGCTGGGGGCCGCAGCCGCTGATTTCGGCGCGAGGCATCACGGGACTTGTAGTCTCGGAGGACGTACACCCACAGCGCTTGCGCACTGGCAAGGCGCGCACAGGCCCCCCCCCCATCAAGATTCCGGGTCCTTGTGAGGGGCAGTCCAGGCGACAGCGTTCCAACCACATACACCTCTCTCTCCTGCCGGGGACAAGCCGAATGCGGGGACGAATCTGCTCTGCGGGGGCCATCGTGGTGCCCTGGAAAGCGGCCGGAATAAGCAAACCCCCCCATTCCGGAAGTGAGCAGCTTTGAGCGCGGTGCATTGTGGGGGGCGTAGTCCTCTTTCCCAGGCGGTCCTTCGCGGCGTCCCCGGGGCCGACTCCGGAGCGCAGGCGGGCATCCGGGCTGGTGGCGCGGCGCGGGCCCGCAGGAAGCGTATTCTGGGCACGGGGCGCCGGGTCCGACCGGCTGCACTGGGCGGCAGTAGTGGGAGACCGCCCAAGGCCTCGCGCGGCGCCGCCCGTCGAGGGGCGGGCGGCGGGGGACAGACCGGGCCGTCGAAGGGCGCAGGAGGCCGGTGGGCCGGGCCGGGCCTCGCGGCGCAGCCATGCCTGGCTTTACGTGCTGCGTGCCAGGCTGCTACAACAACTCGCACCGGGACAAGGCGCTGCACTTCTACACGTTTCCCAAGGACGCTGAGTTGCGGCGCCTCTGGCTCAAGAACGTGTCCCGTGCCGGCGTCAGTGGGTGCTTTTCCACCTTCCAGCCCACCACGGGCCACCGTCTCTGCAGCGTTCACTTCCAGGGCGGCCGCAAGACCTACACGGTGCGCGTCCCCACCATTTTCCCGCTGCGCGGCGTCAACGAGCGCAAAGTAGCGCGCAGACCCGCGGGAGCCGCGGCCGCCCGCCGCCGGCAGCAGCAACAACAGCAGCAGCAGCAGCAGCAGCAGCAACAGCAGCAGCAGCAGCAGTCGTCGCCGTCCACCTCCACTGCCCAAACCGCCCAGCTGCAGCCTAACCTGGTGTCTGCCTCCGCGGCTGTGCTCCTCACCCTTCAGGCCGCTGTAGATAGCAGCCAGGCTCCGGGATCCGTGCCACCGGCGCCCACCACTCCCACTGGAGAAGACGTGAAACCCATCGACCTTACAGTGCAAGTGGAGTTCGCAGCCGCAGAGGGCGCAGCCGCCGCGGCCGCCGCTTCGGAGCTACAGGCTGCTACGGCAGGGCTGGAGGCCGCTGAATGCCCTATGGGCCCCCAGTTGGTGGTGGTAGGGGAAGAAGGCTTCCCTGATACTGGCTCCGACCACTCGTACTCCTTGTCGTCAGGCACCACGGAGGAGGAGCTCCTGCGCAAGCTGAATGAGCAGCGGGACATCCTGGCGCTGATGGAAGTGAAGATGAAGGAGATGAAGGGCAGCATCCGCCACCTGCGTCTCACCGAGGCCAAGCTGCGCGAAGAACTGCGCGAGAAGGATCGGCTGCTTGCCATGGCTGTCATTCGCAAGAAACACGGAATGTGAATGGGTCCCCCTGCGGCCTGCAGGACTCGTGGACTCCTTCCAGCCCAGGGGAACCTCAGGCCGCTATTGAACTCCTCTGTACTCCTGGGACACAGGTTGACAGTACTGAGGCTTAAGGCAGCTGGACTCTTGCTGGTGACCTGGCACCCTCACTTGTTTCCTCCTGAAGCGGGGCTGGGGCCTCAGACTCTGCACTGGTGACACCAGCAATTATGACTTTGTCTACCCTTCCTCCCCAGTTTATGTTGCAGATTCTGGTTAAGCAGAGGCTTCAGAACCACTGAACTTGAAACTTACCCCCTAGGGATGCAGGTGGGATGCCCCGGGACTATGGGTTTGGGAAAGCCACACCTTAAGGTTGGCAAGCAATCAGAGACAACTCTTCTCTGTGTAGTGATAAGAGATCCAAGTAACAGCAGTTATCCTCCTTTTCATGCTTTTCCTTCCCAGGTGCAGCCTTTGATTCTGATGGGGACTGGTAGATCTGTGCCTCTGCCTCCTGGGACCTCCCTCCCCTGGGGGCCATTTACCAGTGGGTCTGGGTAACCTGCTGATGGAGATCCAGCTTGCCGGGGACTTAGGTTTATCCTGTTTTGTTTGCTACTGGTTACAAATTCTATTTTCTGTACAATTAGTCAGACTAAAGTTTTCACTGTGTTTGTTTGGCAAAACAAATTAAACAAAAAGTAAGGTTTTTATTTGGGTTTCGCTATTTTATTTTTACAAAAACGTAGCTGAAATGTCCTTAAAACCTGGAGAAATAGGCCTCAGCCTATTTGAAAGACCTGGCTAACCCTGAAAGAAGAGATGCTTCAATGACCAGATTTCTCCGTAAAGGGCCCCCTAAGCATATGGATCCTGGCCTTATAAGGTCCTCAGAGTTCTGGCCCAACTTACTGTAAAGGGTTTGGAAACTGCAACAAATGGTCCCAGTTTGTCCATGGGTTATCTCCCTGTGTCCTAACAAGAAAGAGCAACTGAGAACTAAGCTGAATTGTGATAGTTCACCTCTGAGGATTTTGGATTCCCTCTTGAATTCTTAGCTGAAGTTGAATTTTGCTAACCCTTACATCCCTTAGGCCTAGCACAGCATCTGGTACACATGTGCTTGCAGTTCCTTAATAAACCAGTGAAGACCACAGCTGGAGCCAGCCATGGCTTCTTCAGGCACAAGGACTCTTGTACAGAAACCTTGACCTTGGTACACCTTCAGTGTGAAGGAGCTGGATCCTTGGCATTAAGGAGTTGGGATTTGTGACTTTGTGACTCATTTTCTTGGCTGCCTCTATTTTTCTTTAGATTGGATGTTGGAGGGGTGAGGGTGACATTTTTGTCTATAGCTTCAAGTAATTTAGCTCAAAGCCAATAGGGAGAGACAAATGCCTTTAAAGCAATGGGTTTTCTGTGGGTATTGAGGCACAAATGGACACTTTTCAGGCTCCATAAAATATAACTCCCTTCTCTGTGTTACTTATGGACAAAGCCCTGCATGGGGACTTGCCCTGAAGCAGTAAGCTGGTATGGTTCTAAAACTCTTTATCTATTTCCCTTCTGGTCCCTTGGCACTGAGTTGGGGAACAAGTCTCTAGTAGGGAAGGAGGGATGATGCGCCATAGGTTGTGTAGGTGCTTGGTTGGGAGAAAGGTTGGATCTCTGCCTTCCTAGGTTAGCACTGGCTGGTAATCAGGTGATGAAAGCATAACAGTGCCCTTTGTATGCCCCTTCTGGGTCAGTCTCTCACATGTCCCCACTCTTCTTCCTTGTAGTGAAGGCTTTTCCAGGGTCTAGCCATGCTCTTTCATATATCCTTGAGCTCCTATTGGTTGAAGGAACTTCTGCTGGTTCTGCTTTGGCCCTCTTGAACCTCTCAGCAGAACTCCTAGGGCTCTCCCTGGTGTGTGGAGGTTATGTGTACACACCTGTCCAGTGTTTTGGTTTGTTAGGGAGAGGAGGGTAGTTCACAGAGTAAGGGAGGTCACAGATGCTGATGCATCATAAGTAGGGCAATGCAGAGTTCTTACTGGCTGAGTAATAAGAGAAGTATGTAGTCAGGCAAAGTGTAATGTGGACAGACCTGGGATTTAATAAACAGAAGCCAGGCCTGGTCTTACCAGCCATTCCCAAGAGGGGTGGGATGGGAGTGGGCAAAGGTGTGAAACTCTTTTGGAAAAAGAGGAGTACTGAGTGATCTCTGGCCAGGAAGGAATGCTAGGAGCTGTCTGAAGAAGACTTACAGCCATTTCCCTTACCTGTGGTCCTCTAGGTTGGCTGCAGAGCCCTTTGCCCAGCACTGGCCTGACCTAGAGACAGACCTTACTTCAAATGTTTGCATTACCAAGGAACCAATGAAATGGGCATTGAAAGGACAGGGCAATGGGTGGGAGGACTATTTATAATCTGGTCACTTAAATCACGGGAAACTTGGGTGAGCCAACTATTTCTCTTTTCTCATTAGTAAAAATGAAACTTATAGCTGCCCTATCTGCTGCAAAAAAACCTTATGCGAATGTTCTGGAGACCCCTAACTGTACAAGTCTGAGAGTAACCTCTCCAGCCAAGCCTCACCTGAGGGGCCTTTGAGTCTCCAGCCCAAGAAGAGCCCAGCCTGCTCAAAACCAGCTCTGGCCCCGACTGGCCGTGGGGCAGGGCGCACAAATGTTGGGAGAGCAGAAGCCCTGGGTTCTGCCCGGCTGGCCAAGGCCATAAGGACCCAAATAGCCCAGGAGGCAGCCAAAGCTCCAAAGGGGAGGGGGCTTCGCCAGCGGAAACAGCCCAGGGGCCCAGGGAGGGGCGGCTGGGCCAGTTTGGGGCCAGGCCGGGCTCCCACAGGGGCGGGGCCAACCCCCACTAGCACACAGCCTGGGCGGGGCTGGACCAGCTGGGACCAGGCGACAGCTAAGCCCTGACCCTTGCCTGGCGCCAACCTCCACTGTTCCAGAGGCTTCCGCTAGACCACAATTCTCAGGGGCTCTCCCCGGCAGCCTCCCTCCCCGGCTTAGCCTCACCTCCCGCGCTGTGGGCCGTGTCTGGGCCTCCGCGCGTAGCACACTGGGAAATATAGTTTTCTTCCGGCGCACTTGTACCAGAAAGGGGAGCGGTGGAACTGCGTTTCCCAGAGTGCAACGGGGCGGACGAGGGAAGGCAGGGGGGAAGGGACAGTCGGTCGCAGACCGCGCTGGGTTGCCGCCGCCGCTGCCGCCATCGTGCCAGCCCCTCGGGTGAGTGTCGGTGCCAGCACGCCGGGGCGGGGGCTGGGCCGCAGGAGCCGCTTTCCAGGCCGCCCGGAGGCTCCGCTGAAAGTCCCCCGGCGGCCCCTCCCATCCCCACCCCAGCGGCCCGAAGCCGCGCGGGGCCCGGGCCATGTGTCGCGCGCAGCTCCGCCTCCCGCCGGTCCTCTGAGGCGGCGGCCGTGGGGAACGCAGAGAGAGCCAGCCAGGCGCCTATCCCGGAGGTACCGTGCCCGTGGCTGGTGCACCGTACTGCGCCATGGCCAGGCCTTTTTCTGTGGTCGGGATCATCCGGATGGGGCTTTCAGGGCCCCGCCCCGTCTGGCCTGGCCCGGCCTGCTCGAGTCCGGCAAGCTCTGCAGGCGGACTAGCGGGCAGACCCCAGCCCCACATCCTGCCACCCGCCTGCGAAGGATCCGGGGACGGGCAGCGCCACCCGGCCCGCTCCAGAGTCAGCATGGGTAAGGGCGCCCGCCTGCCACAGCCGGGGCTTGGGACCCTTACCCGGTTCCTGTCCATAGCCCGGCTAGGGTGTAGGTGAACGCTCCCCTGCTTGTCTGCCTCCTGGGAGTGCACGAAACCTACCGCTCCTTCGGTGGAACCTATGCTAGGGGAGGGCAGGGTCAGAGAATCGGGCGGGAGGGGGTTCCACGTGGGACTTTTTAGCCCTGGCCAGCCTTGGAGGATCTGGGCCTGATTTGGTGAGGCGGCTCCAGGCTGGTAGGCCCAGCCTCCGCCCTTCTGTATCAGTGATCAGGCCCCAACTCTGGGTGGATCGGCTGGCTGTGTTAGTGTAGGAAGGGAGGAGGAAAACGAAGGAGGTGAGGTTAGATGTGTAAGCCTCCAGGGCACAGCCTAACCTTCACGTCTGCTCCTTCCAGAGGCAGCATTAGAATTGCCCCACAGTAGTGGATGATTCCATAAGAACTGGGTGATAAGGTGGGACTTAATGTAGGGGGAAGTAGAATCCAGGCTTGAGGCCCATGAGCCCAGTGCCAAATCAGGTGTTGCTGCAATGGGCTTTGGCGATAGGGCACATTTGAGCTGTAGGGCTCAGGTTCAGACTCTGGGGTCCTTCTGAAGCTTGGATGGCAGAACTAGGCCTGGAAGCTGCAGAAAGTCAGGATTGTCATCACTTGCTTCTCACTTCCCAACAGCCGAAGCTGCCTATGAACAGGCAGGAAGCTGGTTGTGCCTCACGAAATTGCCCTTAAAGATGGCACCAGAGACACCATTGAGTTGTGGGACAAGAGTCTTATCTAGCCAGAGAGTATTATCCTGACTGGCTTCGTAAAGCCACCTCTGATTGAGTGATGATAAATTTAGGAACTGGTCCTGAGAAGACCGTGGGACTTGGGGGAGAGATAGCTTGTCAAACCTTTTTTTTCTTCCTTGAGTATTTCCTCAGATAATGTTTTTTTGGTCGTTGTGTTCTTGACTTGGAAGTTTTCGTATATTTGAATTGCTCTGCCTAGTCATTCTCACTGGTCAAGAAGAACAGGCAAGGATGTTGCTCACATCTCGCCAGGGCCTGCCTTCTATCTGGACTCAACTCTCCTAGTCCACGGACTGGCCCATGAGAACATGAAAGTCAAGTTCGTCCAGCAGGTTCAGGAGAGACCCAGTTTGCCAGTGGAGGTGGGCAATAAGGAGGGACTACCCACAGGACACATAGAGGGTCAGTGAGGTGGAATCTCTTAGAACTAGAAGCAGTTATTTCAAGACCCTCTCTAGATTGTCTGGATTGGTACTTCCAGAGTCACAAGTTTCAGATGAACTAGGATTATGGCTGTGGAGTAGTTTGCATATCTCAAGGTCCTGGGTGGCTTGACCACAAGGATTTTCTTCAGGATCAAAAAGATACTGTTCCTTCTTCAAGGTTAATCAAGAGTAGGAGGAATTCAGATCCCTCCCTCTCATGCCAACCCCTAGTAGTTCCCTGTAACTTCTTTGTCTGGGATCATCCTGACCCTAAGAAGTCCTTCACCTTTCTAGAGAACTTGGCAGGCCATCTAGGTCTCGGAGATAAGAAGAGAGCCATGAGGTTCTCCAGGACTTATCTGTGCTCTCTATTCATGTAGGGCTAACTTGGAAGTAGGGCCTGACAAGGGGTAGTGGGATATGGCTACACAAGCATGGGCAGGGTGTCAGGATGTTTGAGTTCTCAAGCAGCTCAAAATTGGGTCCCTTAGTGACTAGAGGCCCACCTCTCCCCTCTGAGCCACATCTCGCTTTATTCTGCCGTCTTTGCAGTTGAAGGGTTGGGAGGGGATGAATGATTTAAGAGAGACACAGAATTCTCCAGAACTGGAAGCCACCTTGTATGAATCCCTTAAGGAGGCATTAGTATCTTGCTTGCAATTATTTTTTTCTCCTTTCTTGCCAATGATTAATTTTACTCAGCAGCCATTCTTTGGGCCCTCTCTGTGTGTCAGGCTCTCGGCTGAGGCTGGAGGTAGAAAAATGAATCCTGTCCAATCCTGGTGCTAGGGAAAGGAGGTCACAGTAGTGGGGATGATGGGATTGTTGAGGGCTAAGTTGAAGGGACCTGTACAGGGGCTCATAATCTTTTGCAGAAGATGGGGCTATCAGAGCACCAAAGAGAAAAGGCTATTAGTGGGCCCACCCTCCTCTGCAGTGACTGGCAGGAACACTGAGAGAGGTACATTTCCAGATTATGGGCACAGGACAGTCTGGGGTCCCTTGAGTGAGGCTGTCAGCTGCTTCAAATTGCTGTGTCTGATGGAGTCTAGCTGCTGGCTTCTAGGGCCTGCTTCTCCTGAGTCCCCCAGGGGTCTCTGTTGGGTGTTCTCACAGTGCCTGGGAATCTCACCAGCATTTTGTTGTCTGTGGCCTTCTAATCCCCTGTCTGTAGCATGAGTTTGTGTCTTCTGCCCCTTTCACTAAGAGGCTTTTGTGGTCACCTTCATTCATGTGCCAAATAGTTGTTCCTTAGTGGTACATCAGGGCATCTTCCTAGGGTGCCAGATGGAGGAAGCTTCCCCAGAGATGAAAGATTCAGCAGGGAGGCTCTTTGGGTATTCCTTCAACAGATGGCCTTGCCTAGGGGGTTACAAAGGGGGACAGGAGCCACCAGGGACTTTGGAAATGCCAGTAGTGTTTATTTTTATCATTATTATTTGTTTATTTCTTAAAGACAGGATCTCTCTGTCTCTCTTTCTCTCTCTCTCTCTCTCTCTCTTTCTCTCTCTCTCTCTCGCTCTCTCGTCACTGAGGCTGGAGTACAGTGCATGATCATAGCTCACTGTAACCTGGAACTCCTGGGCTGAAGTGATCCTCCTGCTCTCAGCCTCCTCAGTAGCTGAGAATACAGATGCACCATCATACCTGGCTAATTTTTAAAAATTTTCACTCTTGTCCAGGCTGGTCTCAAACTCCTGGCCTCAAGCAATCCTTCCTTGCCCTCCCAAAGTGCTGGGAGCCACCTCGCCTGACAATATTGCTTTAGAATCCAATTCAGGCGGTCCTCATTGAGGCCTTCAGGACCAGAGGAGTAGTCCTTTTGGGGCAAAGGGAGCGAATCTAAATTTTCCACTGGGTAAACATTGAAAGTGAGGCAGGATTTCTTTGGGGTGGGGTTGAGCTGAACGTTGTGCTGGGCTTTTTTCTTTTTTTAAGTTAACATTTTCTGATGGGCCATTTGAGGATATATTTGTGTGTTTGGAGTTCAGTTTGAGTTGGCTGCCCCCATCTCAGCTTTAAGATTCTGTGATTCTCTTCCCTTGACCATATGTGGCAGGAATTCTTCAATCCCTCCCTGAGGGAGGCAGCAGCGTGTAGATTATCCCTAGAGTGACTTCCAGTCTGTGCGATATGATCATTCTGGTCGGTACCCTGGCCACTAAGCTGGTGTGGCACCCTCTTCCTTCTCACCCTGTCAGCTGGACTGTGTCCTCCTGGGCAGAATGCTTTGCTCAGGCCTTGCTGTGGCTGGGATAATGTCTTAGTGGCCAAGGAAGAGGGGCATGAGGGCCAGGGTGGCCTGCTCAGTGGCCCCAGGGCTCCTACTGCCAGCTGACCTATGACCAAGAACTTCCTTTCACTGTCCTGAGTGTTACTCCTTACTTGTTGCTAAAATCTGTATGCCAACTCCCTGAGCCCCCAGGCTGGAGACAAGGCGAATGGAGACCCTCCTACATGAGAGATGTCTGGGGTGCCTGGAAACTGAAGGCTGTTTGCCTCAGTATTCTCAGAAAACTGTGGCAATTCCAGAATGTTTGTTTCTTAAAGCCTGAGATACTCCATCAGAACCACTGGTGCTCACCAGTACAGAAACTGGAGAGCCTGCTGCCATGGGGAGGGAACTCTGTGGAATTGTTTCCACTCGCAGGTGGTTTCAAGGCTAGGAGGGTACAAGTTCTCAGTCATTCCTATGGTGGAAACCTGCTTTGACCTACGGAGTACGTGCTCATGTATCTCCCGTCCTAAGGTGTGTGGAGCTTAATGATTTCAGGGGAAGACAAAAGGCTTGGGCTCCATTCCTTGTCATCCGGTTTTGCCACCTATGTGCTTTCTGCTGCCTCCCATTGGCTCTCATCTATTCCAATCTTGGCCAATTTCATGGGCATTCTAATGTTATGCCAGTGGCCTTGTGTGCTCTTGAGTTCTTCCTTAACCTCTTAGAGTCTCTGTTTCCTCAGCTACAAAGTGAATATATTCATACCAGCTTTACAGGGCCTGTTGCGAGGCTCAAGTGAGAACACACGGGGGTGACTTACAGGTGGCATTCCTTCCAGCACCCTCCGGGCTCCACAGTCATCCCTTTATTCCCTGCTCTTCTCGGTCTTAGGGTGTCACAGCAGTGTTGGCCAGGCCACAGGAGTAGTCATTTAGGAGTCTCAGGCCCCTCTATGGGAGCCAAGTGCATATGTACCTGACTGGCAGGTTCATGGCCTGAGGCTCAATTCATGGATGGGAGCTATTCAGAAGGACTGAGACCCCAAAGGTCTGAGCCACCTGGGAAAGGAGGT